GCCTGTAGTTTCAGCTACTTGGAAGGCTGAGGCGGAAGGATCGCCGGAGTCCAGCAGGTTGAGGCTGCGGTGGCCGGGAGCAGCCGCTGCACTCCAGTCTGAGTGACAGAGTGAGACTCCAACTCAAAAAAAAAAAGAATCCCAGCTTGGCTGGGCGTGGTGGCTCATGCTAATAATCCCGGCACTTTGGGAGGCCAAGGTGAGAGGATTGCCTGAGTTCACAGGTACGAGACCAGCCTTGGCAACTTGGCGAGACCTCATCTCTACAATAAATCAAGAAAAATTAACCAGGCATGGTGGCATGTGCCTGTAGTTCCAGCTACTTGGAAGGCTGTGGTGGAAGGATCACCTGAGCCCAGCAGGTCAAGGTTGCGGTGGCCAGGAGCATGCCACCACCCTCCAACCTGGGTGACAGAATGAGACTCCAACTCAAAAAGAAAAAAAGAAAAAAAAAAAAAAAAAGAATTCTGGCTGGAGTCAGACTGCCTGTGTTTGAATACTAGCTCAGTAACTTTCCAGCTGTGTGATCCTGTTTAAGTTATACAGCCTTTCTGAGTTTCATTGTCCTTGTGTGTAAAAGACAGATAATGGTATCAGGATTGTTGCAAGAAATATGTTAATGATGCAAAGGACTACAGTGGGTTCAACATAGAATAAGCGGCTGATAAGTATTAACTGCTTATAGCAGCAACATGCTTTGGGAGACTGAGATGGGAGGATTTCTTGAGGCCAGGAGTTCAGGGCCAGCCTGGGTAACATACCCTGTCTCTACAAAACATAAAAGAATTATCCTTGCATGGTGGTGCATGCCTGTAGTCCCAGCTACTTGGGAGACTGAGGCAGAAGGATCGTTTGAGCCCAGAAGGTCAAGGCTGTAGTGAACTATGATTGCGCCACTGCATTCCAGCCTGAGTAACAGGGCAGGACCCTGTCTCTAAATAATAATAACGATGACCATAAGCAATAAACCCTGTGTGGCTGTGAGTTTTAAAGCTATTTCTAGGAATAATTGCAAATGTTCTTGTGTGTCCTTATGTACCCTATTTTGCTGACGGCCGACACAGCACATTTTCCATGCTGTGGGGACTTCAGGGATGTAAACAGGCTTAACATTTCCAGTCCTGTGGGGTGGATTCCAGTAGCCAGCAGCCAACAGGGTTTGGGGTTCGACACACACACATACACAGGAAACATTTTCTTGCCAGAAGAAACTGAAATAAAGTTTCTAGAAAGCAGCATTACTTCAGTTAGCGTTGTAAACTACTGAGTATCAGCACTTAGTTTGTAATGCACACTGCCCACCGGTGAGGTGAAAATTAGAAGAGAAATTGGATCTGCGTTCACTCCCAGCTCCTGGAGGTAGCTGTGGGGAAGAAGCTGCAGACGCCATCAGCAAAATGTGTTTACACCCTGGCCTGCGTCTTTGAAGAAATACTCAGAATTTTGTGTCACTTGCATAAATTCGAGGGCTTTCCCCCCCGGTTATTTTAAAATTGTATTCATTGTTGACAACACTGGGGAGGGAGAGGGAAGGGGAGAGCCAGGGGTTCTTGGTTGTTTTGTTAAAGAGTTTGCTTGGAGGAACCAGAGGTGAGAAATGTAGACCACAGCTTTGTCCTAGGGAGTCCTAGCCAGGTCCCCCTGGCATCCCGGGGGCGGGGG